CCCTGGTTCGATTGCAACTGTTACCACAGTTGACCTCAAAATGCATGCAATTAGCGGCCGCCTAGCCTATCCCCTTGCCGGCGCAGTATTGCCTCTGTACACGTCCATCTACCCCTTCGCGCTGGTGTTTCAGACCAATGGGAGTCCGAAGGAACTACCTCCTGAAATTACATAAAAGTAACAGTCTCCGCCTCTCTCATTAACTCATACACACTTCCCCAAGATCGGTTGTGCCCTGAGTGGCATTGTTGTCGAACGTGTGTGGTTCCTTTGTGTAGAGTCAAGCAATTTGGCTGACTCCCTTCGTTCTTAACTTTGTGTTTTCTTTTTTGAGTACCGTACTGCGTTGATAGTTGTTACCATTGGGTTCTTAAGGAACCGTGACTGCTGGATACAGAGACAGAGTAGTAAAGGAGACGAACTAGATAGTGTCTCTGAGGTTGGATCCAAGCTGTAATCCGAAAGGTCAAGCAAATAAACTTATTTTCCGATGATCCCGTCTACTTCCCACAACTCGTAGTTCCGCTTTTATCGACAATTAATGTACTTGCCGGATGACCATGAGTTTATCTCACGTTCAGGATTGTTTTTGAGTCCGAAGACTGGTGGAAAATATGGGGGACTTTTTGGTTACCTTTAAGCCATGCTCGAGCAATATATCGCATCTTATGTGCAAGCTTTTGAAAAAGAGCTGCCATTGCGATTTCTTAGATTTGTGCTCATTATAAACCGATTTTACTTCATCTTGAAGTAAAACAAGTGGGTCAATTACACACGCAGTTTTATTTGAAGACAAAGCCGCGCGCAATGTCAAATCATACGAGAAGACGCATGCCCGGAAAGAATATTTAACATCCTAAATTCCGAAAGAGTCCTGAGCGTTAGAATTCTGCGTTGAATGGATACTCTGGATGATTCATCGCCCTAAAGCGTAAAAAGGTTTAAGTTGCCTTAAGATGGCAGGCAAAACTTACATCGGTACAGTAAAAACGCGAATTTTGCGACCACTTGTATTAAGTATTTCCATTTCCTCCTTCGTCAGTTCAAAATCGAATATCTGATATGATTTGTGGAGGTAAAAATGAATGGAGTTTAAAATCGGCGCTGAATTTAGATAAATCGCAAGTAGAAGAATATTGTCACCTAGAACGGTAACATTGCCCTTTTTGAAAATATTTCTGGGAACAGATCAGCAAAATAGATCTGGCGAAACTCGTGGTTGCAAGGATGGAAACGGGGCTATTTCGAAAATATTCTCAAAAGTGCGTAACAGTATTAATTGCATTCTGGCGTCGATGTTGTTTTACTTCACTAGCTGCTGACAAATCGGCATCGAGTCTCATTTTCCAAGCCAAGAAGAATGCCAGTGTAGCTCCGTGCACAACAACCGACCGTCATTAATGGTAGCAATTCCCGCGTAAATTAGTTTTGAATATTTACTACTTAAGTTGTAAAGAACGTACACAAATTTTAGTATTTGTAGAATGCAGTCGCATTTATCGGATCCGATGTGGCAATTATATAGCTATAGCGCACTATTCATAATCCTGACGGTAACCAGATATGATGACCCAAATTGCCAAAAAATGGTATCTTATTCAGTCTGTAGGATCTTCCAAGCGGCGGACGCATCTTTCTATTCAACCAATTGTTGCGGTGAGTTAACCGTACAAACTACCTCCTGTTGAAAATTAAAATGCCGAAGGGACTACTGTCGACCATTGCTCAGCCAAATACACCAAGATAACGATCACTCAGCATCTTCCGTCGCCTCTCAACGTCCCTACTCCTTGCTTATCGATGGCTGGTAAGACAGATCGCGTAGTAACGGATAGGCTCAATGTCAAATGGAACACATTATGACGCTTCAAGTAAATATGACAGCTCTGTACAAGTACTATATGCTGTCGGCCTTAGTTACCTGGAATCAGTACGCGTTTTAACGCGTAAAACAATGGCACCAATTAAATCCCTGCAAATTTCATACCGAAAACGGGTTTTCAAACTAAGCGCATATTTCTGCACGTTGATTGGCTGTCTGCATCTAATGTGAGAGGAAAAAATAATGCAAAAATATTATAGATTGTCCTTAGCTGTCCCAAAACAAAATACCGGTTTTTATTGCTTACATTGAAGTTGGCCTTAATACTCTGTGCGTTGCTGCTGTTGGCGATCACTGAAAGACCTCGCTGTACTGCATGTCGAAGGAGAATCTGACCCGGCATCTTACCGTGGGCAAGAGCAATTTTCTTCACATAATCCTCCTCCAACGGAGATGGAATCTTTCTGTTTGAATTCAAAAATACACGAATCAATGGACAAAGCTCCACTGACAAATGCGTGGGCATTTTATGCATGCTGGTTGCAACAAGCTGTCGTGTTTCCACGTCGCTTTATCCGCCAAAAATGTGGAACCAAAGGTCCGATAATATTTAGCAGCCATGAGGACGCTCATGGCCAAGATATTTGACATTACTTTACACAGAAATATCTCGAGGTGACCTCATGCTTCCTTATTTGCGAAGGAGATCAACCTGTCCAGATTCGCCACCCAAGTTGTCTCTACCGTTCCACTTGCCTGAATCGACATCTGTTGAATAACTGCGTAGGCAGTCTCTAAAAATTCCTGACCGGTATCGATTTTCTGGATTAACTGTTGCTGCTGCATTCTACGTTGGTTACTAAGGCTATCTGGCTTGGGAATTCGGCTTGCTGCATCAGGACTGATGGGTCGCATAAGTTGCAGTAAGCTGGGCCGGTAACTTAACCCAAATGCGAGTTAACTCACGGCTTCCGAAGTAGCTCAGTTGGCTAGAACTAAATACTTCGCACTGGCTGGCGTAGGTTCGAATCACACCGAAACAGTCAAGTGTTTTACAAGTATCTACAGGATTTTGTCGGATTCTCGAACAGTACGAAACGGAAATTGCACCTGTACTAGTTTCGCATTTCCCTTACCCCTCGCCTCTTTTAGGTGTCTGTCGTAATACTCTAGTACAACAACGCACACTGTCCAGCGAACCGTGAGATCACGACGCATATTTCACGTGCGTCTAAATCAGCCAGTGTGCAATAACTGTAGACTGGGAAGTTGAGAGTCAGGTACACGAACGTTTCTGCAATCAAATTAACTCGGGTTTGTCGCCAACACAGAATACAGTAAGGGAAAGAGCGTGAATTTGGTTCGCGCGCATGGTATCTCCTTAATAAGCCAAATCGCATGTCATCACTGCAGCCCAACCCTCTTCTACTAGTGTCTCAGTTTCTTCATCGAATATGGTCCGAATAGCAAAATCGGTGTAGCTGGTATTGATTTAACCGATAACAAACGTAGACCACGGAATGTTCAGACAATAGCTTTTCATTCGACCTAGTTCAAACTCGCCATGGGCGCAAAACAATGGATGGGAGAGAGAATGAACAGGATGCTCTGCGGTTGGTCCTCAGATTAATTCTTTTTGTGCACCCCTCGTAAGATTTCGGTACTCCTCATCAATCTTAACAGAATAAATATTAGATTTCCAGTTGCCTGCTTCCATCAGAACATAACTTCCTACATTGGTGCTAGGATGGCGAGGAAGATCCGAATAACCGATTATGGACGAAAATGTTGATGAATGGAATTCTCATTGGTACCTGGAGGCTCACCGAACGGTTACGGGACACACTCCTCGTGTTCTGCTCTGGGGATCGCTTTTGAGTCCCGCCAGCAACAGCCCAGCGACAAATAATATGGGCAGGAAAGCATTACTGACAAAGACCAGGAAGACTAAAATGGCTATTTCTGGCCTAATAAGCGTCATCAGCCAGCTATACCCAATCATCTACATTGCACCACCCGAGGTTTGAACCCACGGCCTGTTAATTAGAAGTCCAGCGCTCTAACCATTGAGCCACGGGTTCATCGTCTTGTCAGTTATATATCGGGAAATGCTCACATTGGTGCATTAGTGCTCACCGATCGGTACCGGGATTTCTATTGTGAGCGGGATCGGTGTAGACAGTAGTGGCGTGGTCAGACAGATCATTTTTTGCTAACTGATTTATGTACGTTAGCCCATTTTTGTCCACATACTACTCAAGTTGCAGAAGTAGTATATTTTACTGACTTACTTCATTACGCCTGGGGAACCGAATGGTGAATAGGCCGTGATCTGAATGCCCTTGGAGTGACAGTAGTCGATCAATTTTTGATTTAGCCAGTTCACAGAGACTTCAATTTGGTTCACCGCTGGAGGTATTTTGCAGCTGGCCAGAATGCGATCAATTTGAGCCTTGTTAAAGTTGGAAACGCCGATCGACCTGACATGGCCTGCCTCAACTACTTCCTCCATGCCCTGAAGAGAAAGCAAGACAAAAAAGAAAATATTTTTCAAGAAAATCCAATCAAAAAGCATGTTCGACTAAGTAATATAGCCCTTATTTTGGCGTTTTTTTTAATTCTTCCCTCCTATATGGTACAAATTTACAAGTATACATCGTCGATACTCATCTGCTTGACACTCAGAGACTGCTTGGGCTTATAAATGCCGTTGGTTAATCACTAATTCCGAAGGATTTGGTAAGGTGTCAGAACAATCTCAACCATCCCAACTTCGTAATTAACTCTCAATTAATCCAGCCTGCCCGCAAACGACATTTTGCTATTACTGGGTGTTTTTTGTCCTGTTTCCATGGCTACAGCGGGTAAGCTTCTTTAAAAAGCCCGTGGATGCAGAACTGCCGGGCTGGGTGGCGCCTCACTTGCTCTTCTTAAGTCCTGTTCTTTTCAAATATTCAAAGACGCTTTATTAATGTCCTTCTTATAGTCAAGCAGGTCTGATGTTTGGCGTACAGCAAGAATCGCACCCATCGCCAGCCTTTAAAACCCCTTGAAATTGCATGCCTCTCTGCACTTTTGAAGCTTGCAGAACCTTTCCAATTTGTACAGAAAGTCAGCTGCAAAACTCGTGGTGCATGGTGATCTAAGAGAGCATGACAAGGGTTTCCCTGCGTGTGCATTTGTCCTCTTGGCTGATATCTTAACACAAGGCCATTTCATAACGATCACGCCATTCACTGATCACAATCTGTATTATTTTGTCTATCTCCCTCACACTGAGCTAAAGGAGACGAAGTGTCTTCGCATGCGCCGTGGCTTCCAGTACATCAGCATTCCGTATGACAATCTCTGGCACAAAATTTTACGTGTAAAGTTTCACAAACACAGAAAATAAGACTCACACACTCGCCGTAATAGTCGTACAGTTTCATGTAAACCTGCGTATTCTCTCGCCTTTTATCTATCTGTATTCTCTCCATGGTGAATGAGGAATGTTTTGGATAAAAAATTGAAATGGTACTTTTGATATAAACCGTTTTCTCTCTCTCTCTCAGTTGAAACGGTCAACCCTTTATTCAGCATATCCGGACGCCTGCTTTTGCGCTCCGGACATACGTATCTGTCGTCCGGGTTGCAATTTACTCATCACTTAATCCGTAAAGAACACAAACCTTCGTCTACTGGGGTTAAACTCACCCAATTCCTACCCGAGACTCTATGAGGAGGTCATTATGGTCCGGCTCTGCCCATAGCTTTAGCAGTCATAGTAATAGGTTTATAGAGAGCACAATACTCCTTGTAAAAAGCTAAGTTAAGGCCTCCTAAGGTGGACCTTACATGCGTCGATTCAGGTAAGTGGGCCCACGTCCTAGGTGATTGACCTAGCGAAATGTGTTTGTTAGATGATATTCGTAATTTGCTAACAACAACCAACATTAAAAAAATAGGGAAGACTTGTATAATTACCTTCCACGTTTCCTCCAATGGTATGTTCTCCAAATCAAATACACTCAAGTCAATTCTTGAGAACTCTTTGCCTTCCTTCAACTACGCACCCAATAACGTTTAAATAGAAGTACCTTGAATGAGACAGGCAAGTGAATAAGATACAGATCCAAGTATTGGAGTCCAAGTTTCCGTAAACTCTCCTCACACGCTGGACGCACATCCTTCCGACGGTGATCACTGCTCCACAACTATATAAAAGTTTAGCCTACGATTGCAGAATGCCTTTGATGTGATAAACATGTCGTCCCGTTTAACAGTTCCCACATCAAATGAATGCTTGAGGGCCCTTCCAACTTCAACTTCATTTTGGTAGGCTCGTGCGCAATCAATGTGACGATAACCTTCTGCAATGGCCCAAAGGAGAGGCTTTTCCACCTCGTGTAGTTTTGACTAAGAATAGACAACATGGGGGAAAAACCAACCATAAATGTGCCAAAACCCAGCTGGGGTATTTTGTAACCACTTTTGAGAGACAGAAAGGCTTGTCGCCAAGCCATGCGTAATTGGGCGAACTTCTGTCGTATAGATCCGACGAAGAGCTCTCTCGGTCTGCGATGCACTCGTCTATATAACTCTGATGAGTGAGACCTTTTAGAGGAATTTCATGTTACAGCGTTTTAAGAGAAAATATATCATTGGTTACTCTACCATAATCGGGTCTTGTGGAGGGCTAACGCAAACGTGTGCATTTAGAACACACATAGAGTGCTTTGTTGACTGTACGGTTGCTGAACCTGTGTAATTTCTACCCGAATGTCAACAAGATCTTCGCATTGCATCGCCCGCACAGTACATAAATTTACTTTGAGGAATAGGTAACGAACAATCCTAAAGCCAACTGCGCACATTGTTTTTTATGATCCCCAAACCGACCAAATATGACAGGTAACCTGTTTTTTCCGGCACTGTCCCGCGTGGCAGGTATTTTTTTGCCAAGCTGTCCCTTTGCCAACCGCATAATGTTGTAAGCCGTTACACGCCTACTATAACTGAATTTGCTACAAATGATTAAAATCCAGGAACCTCCAAAATGAACATAGACGATAGGAAAAAGCGTCACCAGAAGCTGGAAAAGGTGGACTGACGTCCGATTTAATCGGTCTAGGGAAAATGTGTGTGTCCTAAGAGATCCGTAATCAACTAACAACGACCAACATAGGAAAAAAGGAATACTTTTGCATTTGGAATTGTATACGGCGAAGAGTTAACTCGCCTTCCACGTTTCCTCCAAAGGTATGTCCTCAGCGTCAAACACACTTAAGTCAGATGTTGAGAAAAGTTTTTTCCCCTACAACTACGCACGTAATGGAATTGAAAAAGAAGTACCTTAAACGAGATGGGCAAGTGAATGAGATACAGATCCAAGTACTTGAGTCCAAATTTCCGCAAACTCTCCTTACACGCTGGACACACATCCTTTCGACGACGCTGACTGCTCCCCAACTACATCACGGGTTAGCGTACGATCCCAGAATGTCTTAGATGTAATGAACATGTCCTCTCGTTTAAGAGTTTCAGCGTCAAATGCTTGCCTGACGGCTCTGCCAACTTCAACTTCGTTTTGGCAGGCCCATGCACAATCAATGTGACGATAGCCTTCTGCAATAGCTCAAAGGAGAGGCTTTTCCACTTCGTGCAATTTTGTCTAAGGATAAACAACTTGGGGAAAACCAGCCGTCTGTATAGGTCTCCGCGGCCAGGCGTAGACATGGCGTTTTGTGGCCATACTGTTTGGTAGTAAACACGACAACTTGAGGACACGCAATGGTTTTGACCAATGCTAGTTCCCATGTCGGATAGAGGAGAAGTAAGATGCATTTAGTAAAGTTGATTAACCTGTAACCTCAATCTGTACTCTGGACGGCTACATAACTGATGTTGCATGTGAACTATGATTAAACGCCATTGTCAAAGTTGAGATTGTAGGTGGTTCTACCGAATGAAAATTACGTAAACATTAATCCGTGGGAAAGGATTAAGTGCTTGAGATGGACGATCGTGGAACATGCTGTGCGTGCGCGTCCCTACACGATGTGCGTGCGCGCAGACGGGTACTCAAAGGACAAATTATCGCTTACTCGCAGTCTTCGAACGACGATCGCAGCGTTCATCACTTTGACTGTCCGATTTGGAGGAGGTCCATCAGGGGTGCAGGGACGATGACTTGCGCTGGATTATAGTGAGCATATGCGTTTGCTTCATCTTCCTCACTCCATGTTCCAATTTCCCACATGGACCTTTGGTCATGACCAAGTCAAGAAGACCACAGGCGGAAGGAGGCACAGGTGACTGGCGTAGCCAGAGCCGCCAACGGGTATCCAGTTAACCTCGCAAACTAATTTTTGTATCAAAGACACGCGAGGAACGACAGTGGGCGAAAACATAGGCCTCAAGTCTTCCGTGTCTTATCCTTCATGAAGAACCTTTTTCCGGAGCCACGTTGGACACCGGCAGGAGGCCACTACCGGTCGCTTTGTCCTGCAACCAAATGTCGACTATCACCTGTAGACACTTTGGGCATCATTTACCGCATCAACTCTCTAGACTATCGGGCCTACTACTGTGGCATGACCCGTAAACTTCTGAGAACGTGCATGCAGGTGTACACTGCTGCCGTAAAGCGAAAAAATATACTATCGCAAGTCGCCGTGCGCCATCTGATTTTGACGTTAATGGTGTCCAAGCGAGAGAAATCATGGCGGCCTGGCAATCAGACATCAACCGCAGTATCGACATACCAGCGCCGTAAACAGCCGCAAGGCAGCACTAGCGAACAAGAGGGGACAATGAGGAAAGAGAAAGGCGGACCTACAAGGAACGGATAGGAAGTACCCACTTAACTCATGTATTACTCCGGTTGTCTACTTCCGGTGACACACTGGTGTAGGAGCGTGAAACTTTAGATTAATAAACCT